AAGGCAGATGCTCAAACCCAATGTAGACATGACAGTTTCTCTCTCTCCTCCACTGTTAAACAAATGACTCCTGTCTTTTTCCATCTCAACACTGACTTGGAAATTATGATTCAGACACAAGCTTGCTATAGACTGGGGATGGTGAATGAAGCCATTCCTTTGAGTACACTCAAGCGTATCTCACCAACTGGATATTTTAAAAGTGCTTGCATTCTTAAACAATCTTGCAAGTGTCTTCAGAACAGGAGAAACCAAGGTCACTGAACTACAGTATGCTTAAGATATGCACTGTCCATTTTAAAGAGCTGCCTGCAGTGGAAACTCCTTCCATGTCTACACAATGGAGACAAGGCAGAGGTTATGATTTGACTAAAGAAAACAACCTTTGCTGATATACTCTGTTGAGTTGTTCTGCCATCACGAACCATGGACATGCTTGGACCTCAGTAGATAAGTCAGTTCATTATACTGCCATTAACAACAAATGTGGAAGTATCGTTGGGTGGGGAAAAAAAAATAAATCCACATGAGTCATCTCCCCCATGCAGAAGAGGCCTCAATTACATAATTATATTGCATTTGCTATAATCTTACTCAAATGAGATCCTTCACTAGCTGGATGCAAGGAGACAGGCAGGCCGGCACACACATTTTTTCATATTTCTGGAAATAATCACAGCACTGTCTTTGTTTTTCAAAGCCCCAAGGATTTGAGATCTGAAGGTAGCATCTGAGTAATGCTAGCATAAAGGCCAGCTGTACTGGGGCCATGGTAAGCAACGCCTATCTAACACAAGCTTATGAAGCATGCATTTAGACCTTTTGTCAGCCACCCTACTGTCCCTGCCCCCCCACCAAAAGGGCTGAAAAAGGCCTCAGAGAAATCTAATCTCCAAAGCTGAACTTCGACAGCCCTGCAATGTACAACCTTGCACTCGATCTCAGATTTTCTTCTTGCCTTTCCAGTCACACATTTATAAAATACAGATGAAGCTTAGTCAGAAGAGAAACAAGTATAAAGATTAGTAGCAGAGATCAGACTGCACTTTCGAGAAGAAGGAAGGCTCAAGGAATTGAGGAAGCTGAAAGACACAGAAGGAAAGTTCTGACCTAGTAAAAACAGCAGCAGCAAAGCCTCCAGAAATGGTAGTAACTTCTGTTCAGTGATGATGTGGTTTAACACCAGCCAGTAACTCAGGACCATGCATCTGTTCCACTCACACCTGCTCCGGGCAGGATGGGGAGGAGAATTGAAAGAACATAAACCCCATGGGCTGACATAAGAACAGTTCAATAACTACAATATAATATAGTACTACTATTGATAATGATAAGGGAAATAACAAGGGGAGAGAATATAAAACTAGAAGGGAAAAGGAAAAAAAAAACCCCATCAATAAACCCGAGTGATACACAATACGACTGCTCAGCACCCGCTGACTGATACCCAGCCCGACCTGAGCAGCGATCTGGCCTTCTGGATAACTCTCCCCAGTTAATATACTGGGCATGACGTGCTGTGGTATGGAATACCCCTTTGGCCAGTTTGGGTCAGGTGTCCTGTCTCTGCTTCCTCCTGGCTTCCCCTCCTCCTCCATGGCAGAGCATGTGACTGAGAAAGTCCTTCGTCAGAGTAAACATTACTGAGCAACAACTAAAAACATCGGTGTTACCAGCGTTGTTCCCAGGCTGAAAGTCAAAAACACAGCACTGCACCAGCTATTGGGAAGGAGAAAAATAACTGTTACAGCTGAACCCAGGAAAAGTGAGCTGATACAGTTGGAAAAAATGGACAGGTAAATGACTGTGTGTCTAAAAGCCTACCCATTCTTTTTCCTGACTGTATCAGTCAGTCAAAAGATATTCCCAGTCCTTATAAGACAAGCCCTTGCTTCTCTTATAACTTAATGCTATTTACTCACTGACCAAGGCAGACAAATAGCAGGATGTATGTCCATGAATGCAAAATACTCTAGGTGAAAACAAAGGAAGGTCCAGATGAAAAGAACAGCTACATTGCTAAATTAAACACTCTGGTGTTCTGAAAAGAACCAAAATGTCCCAGATTCCTCCTTTGGGGCTGGGGTTGTGGCGTGGGGTGCCAGGAAAAGAAGAGAGAAATCCCGTTTTGGAAGAACTATTTAAAAGATTCCTGGAAAGTTTAGATTCTCTTTTCTTTTGTTAGCCAGGGACATGCTGAACTCCCACCATCTGCATCATGCACAGATCTGGTATAAAAACATACATGTGCTGGGGCAACACAGAACTATATTGAAGAGAAGACAGAGAGGCCTCTGTATGTTTTATACTGAGAGATTCCAGTTCTTAAGTTGCAAAAGTACTTCAATTTCAAATTGTCAACAGATTGAAAAACCAGTCCAAGAACAGCTTGCACTGTAAACTCGTGTTATTGCTGCAGCTTAGAAAGACATTGAGTGCTAGCTTGACTTCTCGCCTCATCTATGAAGAAGGACCATAGTTAATTTGAAATCTCTCTTCATAGTACTATGTCACAATGAAGATCAATACTGTATTTGGATGGTACAAATCCATTTCTACTGAAAAATCTAAGATACATCTATGAAGGCAGGCTTCAAATTCCATACAACTTCTGCTCAAAATTTCAATTTAGGCCTGAAACTGAATGAACCTGAGAAACAATATTCCTAAGGATAAGTCAAGGAATACTGACTCATCCTTACTCAGTCTCAAACAATTTGCCCAGTTCTTTAAAAATGCCAGAACCTATTTCATTCTGCTACAGCACTAGCTGCCATTCCGCTTCACCTAGCACCTCACAGCAAATGTAGCAGATCACACCACCAGATGGTAAAGACTTGTGCTCCTGAGGCTGAAACCTGAGGTTCAAGTCCTTGCGGGCAACTATCTGTAGCACTCTTGTTACACACATAGTTATAAGAAAAGAAACTGTGCGTTTTCACTTCCTCAGTCATTCCTTTCCTGCTCATTAGACAGCCGGGTCAGAAGTGCTTTTTCTCCCATGCTACAGAAGCTGCAAGAGGATGCACATGCCCACTGATGTGCCATCACATGTTATGCCAATACAGCTGGGTAAGGCAGGGTAATGCTGCCACTTAAATCTTTCGCAGCTCATCATGCTCCCAAGTGTTGGAAAAAAGGGATCTTTAGAAGTAAAACACTGAGAGGATGAGTACCATTACCAGCACCATGCTGGATAATCCATTTTGTTAACTTAGCATTTGTAGAATAAGAAAAGTACAGATCTCATAAATGAAGTATCATGTAACACAATGGTAATAAACTGGTTGAAATGCTGTTCTACACCCAGCCAATGTCAGAAAGGAGTTGTGTGCAGAATGAATAAAGAATCAGAAGTTATGGTGCAAGCACAACTCTCCAAAACTGATTCTGCCCTAATCGAGAATGCAGATTTGATCTTCTGGCAAGCTCCTCTCAATTCTTTGTAACTGACTTAGTTTCACTTGTGATCCTTTAGAATAATCAAAAAAACATACATATGAAGGAAGAAAGACTCTAGAAGGAAGTCTCATTTTCTTCTTGAAGCTTCCATTTGCCAGATGATCTCTGTTGTAGTCTAAGTGACCATCAAGTGCATAGAGATTCTTAAAAGATGATTCAGGCAGGAGATAAGTTGCATAGCTAGCTTAGATGCTTAACTCTTGTGTCCTACACACTCTCTGCACTCCTACTCCATTGCATATAAATTTAACCCACACCCAACCCAAACACCTTAACTGCAGGAATTCAGATGTGCCCCTAATATTCAGTACTATAAGGCTTTTGGACTTATTCTCGTGACTTTTATGATGATGCAATTCAAAACTGCAGAGACCACTCCCAGGGATTTCATTTGCCCTAATATTTTCCCTTGTTAACATATGGTATTAAAAAGCATTGCTGGATTTACTGACCTCTTATACTATTATAAATCACCTAACTTAAAGAAACTCTGATACAGAAATGCAAATGAGAGATCAGTGGGTAAAAGGAAAATTGAAGTGGCACGTAAGTCATTGGAAGATCTGTCACAATAATAGTGACTAGCAGTACCTGGCCTGGCATGCACCTACCAGGTGCATGGCCTGCTATCAATTAGCTCTAATTAGTTTATTCAGAGTTTCGACCACCACAGAGCATTTGGTCCAAAAGAGTCTGACCTGGACATGTGCTCAGCAAGGAATGCAGGCCTTCCACATACACACACTGCTTTCTTAGCAGAAGGAAACCTGACTCTTTAAGATATGATGGGAATATACTGCAACTATATCTGACATTTCTCAAGCAGCAAAGAGAAAATGTTAACTACTGCTTAAACCTCTATATTTAACATATTCCACAGCCAAGATGCTAATTAAAGCATTAATTGTTTCAGTGTCCCACGTCAAATACTCCTCATTCTTTGATATGTGGAAGATGGCTCAATTGTGTGGCAATGTATTTGTTTCAATACTAGCAGTTTACTCTTTGATCATGGAGGTTATAATATTGTTTGCACGTACTGCAACAGTGTCTCCTTGTGAAAGCTAGTTAGTCTTACAAAAACAAAACCAACCCCCTCAACAGCAGCCCTATAGGAGTACAAATATAGTATCTATGACACAATCATTTAAGAAAGTGACTGTCAGCCCTTGTCACATTATGTACCAGCATTATGAAAATGTCACACGTTATCACTGGAATATTCTCTTATTTGTAGGTGACTTTTGTGAATATCAATTTATACAATAACAGGATTTAAATATATTGCAATCTGCTATAGACACATTGCTTAAAAAACCCACCTCAACACCTATAGGCAACCTCAAAAAACCCCAGACCAACAGATATTACAGTGCACTGCTTCAACACGTTCTCCTTTTCAACATCAAAAGTTACCGGGTCCCCAGCTTAGTTAGAAGTGCCCAGTTTAGACTGAAAGCCAGCCACCAAGACACTGAACTCCTTCAATTTCTACTTTCAGCCCACATGTCTTTATTAGTCAGTTCATATAGACTCACCTTAGTCCATGGATGTGCCTTAATCTGAGGGAATTTGAATTCAGTATAGTTCGGATTCATTTCTCTAATTTGCTCTCGTGTAGGCGTTCCCAGAACCTGGACAGGAGAGAGAAAAAAAGGCAAATCATTTAGATATGCTTCATATTCACATGGTAATGAAGAGCTCAGTATAACCTACCATACATTGAGACAACTGAAGTCAATCTGTGTAACTAGTAAGTTAATACAGTGTTTAGAACAAAACAACAAAACTTTTGCAGAACTGTTTAAGTTGGAAGGAACCTCCCTCTCCTGGGAGCTTCTCATCCAACCCCCCTGCTCAAGCAGGGTCAGCTGGAGCCAGTTGCCCAAGACCATGTCCCACTAGGTTTTCAGCATCTCCACAGAAGGAGACTTCACAACCTCTCTGGGCAACCTGCTCCAGTCTTTAACCTCCCTCACAGGAAAAAGAGAGTTTTATAGCATTTAAACGAAGTTTTGCTTGTTTTACTTTGTGGCACTGCCTCTTGTCCAGTCAGCAGGCACCACTGAGAAAAGCCCGGCTGTTTCTTCTTCATTCCTTCCCACCAGGTATTTTATACACATCATTAAGACCCCCCCAAGCCTTCTCTGCTTCAGTGCCAGCTCTTGCAACCTCTCTATGACAGATGTTCCAGTCCCTTAATCATCTTTGCGGCCCTTGCTCCAACTTCAGTAGTCTCTTGCTTGCAGTTCAGTTCATAATCCAAGCCTAGTGTCAAAAGGTTAATAATCTTCCATAGCCTTTCACAAATTTCAAGCACCTTTCTCAAACTTAGTGGTATTTCAATGGGGAAGAGAGTTCACTTTAATTAGACTGTTATAAAACAGTACTGCCAAACACATTCTGGGACTGCAAGCTCACTGCATATGGCTGATTAAGGATCAGACCAGGAGCACAGGCTGCATTTTACAAGTCATGAACCTCTGATGAGCTTAAAAGATCAGCCACTTACTGCTGAGGGGAGCAAGAGAGGTTCTACCCCCATCCGAAACTGTGTGGTTTTGGTTGTAGCTCCCCACCCCACTATTTCCACGTGGAAGATAAACTTAGTTTAAACCTAACCTGGAAGCATCGAAAATGCGTACCAGCCCTGGTCTACTTTACAGTGTTGTATTTCTCATTGCCAGAATCCGCACAATGTTATTTTTACATGCAAATGAGTAGTTGTATGAGAAGTAACACACAATCACACATCTCTTTGTCAGGGTGGATAGATTTTGAAAGGATTTTGGAAATCCCTTCAAGGAATAAGCTGGACATACGGCATTAGTGCTTTCTGTTCAGTTAGCACTAAGCATAAGAGAGCCACTGCCTTCTACCTATATATAAAAACCGCAGATCTATATATAAAAACTGTTGTTTTCTGTTTGCACCCAGTTACTGGGTATCCTTTTGTTCTGCAGAGAGAAGTGAAGAGGGCTGCAGGCAGAGGAGCCACTCCTCTATGCTGAGATCAGTCTCATCTTCCTATTGGAACCCTGTAGCCACGCTGCTCTCACCCCGTGACAAATCCCTTGCCATAGAGATAAGCATAATGTTACCACCTCATGAGACTGCACTGTCACCAGCAGGAAACGAATGATCTACAACATGACGTTAGCACTCTACCTTACTGCTTGATAAAGTAGTATTTGGTTACATATTCTGGTACCAAACATTTTCATTCTGTTAGAATAGTGGAGATGAAACAAATGCACTCTAAAGACTCAGGTAAAGGGGGAAAAGAGCAAGTTAATTGCTGTTTAATTAATTTGTGCAACAGAGGAACTATCCTCAGGTATTATGAAAGGAATTTGGCATCTATTATTTACAACACGAGCTGTACAACACAAACTAAAATACCTACACACAAAGCAGTCTTTTGAATAAACAGTAGCAGCAGAGGAAATAAACCCTGCAGCTTGTTCAGGCAGTTGCTTCTTGGACAACAGATTTAACTGACAAGTTGTACAAAATGAATGATCATGTAACTCCTACCTTCCCATTGCTAACCGGGATTTAAGTCTGACCTACTCTCTCTAAAAGCCAAGGGTTAACTTCAGAGCTGACAGGAGAGTTTTCTGTGCTTGTCTGAACATGCTGCTTTTCTCAGGTGGTAGAAAAGGGGGTGTCTGCAGGGTTCTATATATTTGCTCAACTTGCAAAGGAAAAAGAGTTCACAGGAAAACATGCCCTTTCCCTGCTGGTTTTCTGTCTGGCACTGGCCACCCTGCTGCCAGCCCTGCCAGGAGGCTGCTACTCTCAAAGCTTTGATGACCACCAGCCTCAAAGTTTGCCAGTTGCAAAAGATGAGGAAATTTCACTCCTGCAAATATTATTTTCATCCTGGTTCAGGACAAAAGCCATTTTCAAAACCTTGCAAGTATTTTTGATTAGTTAAATTAATTTCCTGAACAATCACGGGTAACTTGTATTGCTCTCCCACCATTTCTAAGTTTTAGGCCTCCCTAGGATAAACAGGACTTTTTAAAAAGCATCTTTACCTTCTTTACCCTCTTCCTCCTCTTCCAAAATTCCTTTAATAGCCCAAATTCAGCAAACTGCCTCAGTTGCCAAGGCTGCCCAGAACAGAAACCCACGTGGTGCAAGTATCTTTATTTAAAGCCTGCCCGTAGCACTAGAGAGAACTCAGATTAGATAGGCAAGGGCAATTTCACAGAAGGACCCATGGACAAAGTCTCTTCATACACCATTTCACTAAAAACACAGCTGTAACTCCAGATGATGGAAGGGAGCAACTCTTCAGCTCAAGCACAGGCTTCTAAGCAACAGTGCTGAAGGTCTCATGAATGCTTAGAAAAAAAGGTACTGAAGAGGGATCATGCTAGCTGAAAGAAGGGATTGCCTGACCTTTCAGCTTCATTGCAGTCTTTGATACACAAAGTAACTGTACAAAAGGAAAAGCGACTTATATTAGCCACTCAGTGTATTTACCTTACTCTCTGCGGATTGTGAAGTCAGATTGTGCTTTCAATTTGTACTGAAGACAGATTAGAGCAAAAACAAAAAACCAAAACCCCTCAAAAACCAACCCAAAAGAACCTCTAAACAAAACAAAGCCAAGAAAAAAAAAAAACCAAACAAGCCCCAGCCCCCCAAAAAACCCCTAACCCAAAACCAAACAAAAACCACAGAGTAAATGAAAATAGGTAGGAAGAAGAATGGAAGTCTGTGTCTAATTCAAATTGCAATCCAAAAGAAAAATGTGAGATAAATCAACTGACAAGCTATAAAATTGTACCAGTACTTGACATATCTGGAAGGGTTCTTGTAGTGGACCTTTCTTCAATGCACCAACACTGCCAGCTGCATGATTCTGAAATTGTACCTCACTTATTCACGCTGAGTTTTCAGCATATTAGGAATACATTCAAGTAACCTTGATGAGTAACAGCAATCATCTAAGCTATTGCAAAATTGGGCAAAACTCTTCTGAAAGAAAACCCTGTCTGTATGTGACTGCTCTTTCCGTTTGAAATGCAAAGGAGAAGCATAAATTTGCACATTTTGGGCAGAATTACTCCATGAAACAGCTGCTCTTAATCTACTCTGAAAATACTATGGAGCTGATGTTCCTTGGAGAGAGGTTTCACAGTATCACAGAACTGTTGAAGTTGGAAGGGACCTCTGGAGTTCATCTGGTCCAACCTCCCTGTACAAGCAGCAACAGCGAGAGCTGGTTGCCCAAGACCATGTCCAGATGGCTTTTGAGTATCTCCAAGGACAGAGATTTCACAGCCTTGCTGGGAAACAAGTTCCAGTGTTGGACCACCCTCACATTAAAAAAAAAAAAAAAAAAAAAAAAAAAAAAGTTGTCTATTTGTGTTCAGATTGGATTTCACACATTTTAACTTGTGCCCATTACCTCTTGTCCTGCCACAAGGTGCCAAAGCAAAGAGCCTGGCTCCCTCTTCTTTGCTTCTTCCCTTCAGGTATTTCTGTGCACTGATAAGATCCCTCCAATCTTGCAGAGGTCAGAGAGCTTTTAGGAAATGCAGAGTCCAATATTGCATTACTGAGGTCCATGCAGATTAGCACAGGCTATTCTGCTTCTCAGAGTTAGTCTTTTGAAAGGGGATATAGTCAAGGAAGAAGTTGGGTTGTTGCTTTATTTTTTTCTATTTAAGAGAGAACCAAAGCAGAGCAAGTACTTGAATAATACAAATGTAGGTGTCTGATGGAACCCACCCTAGACTTTTGCATCCATGAAGGGGGTCTATGTGAGACTACAAGGGATTTGCCTGCAAATGAAGCAAACAACTCAACTAGTTTTGCTCTTTCTCCCCAACCATCAGAACCATCTCTTGAGTAAAAATAAAGAAACATTATCTACCACAACTAACTAGAGAATACACTTGCTGGGAAGACAGATGCTGCTCTGGTTCTCTTAGGACAGAAACTCAACAGAAAAGGTTTCCCAAGTATTTTCTGGAAAGTTTTCCTTTGACATTAATATGTAAATGGATGAAGCTCCCCACATAGTTTTTATTCCAGGAACAGGTTCATGAAGGAAAGGTAATGGTATGCGTATCAAGCAACTGAAGAAAAGCTACCAGCTCCCAATAATGGCATCCTAACAAAAAAACAGCAGAGACCTATGAACCTGGAATAAACCCTGAATTTGATTACAAATAAAGATCTTCATTTTATGTTTTTCCAAGCAAATTTTCATAGGAGAAGGAGATGGATGATACTCAGCTCCAAAAGACACCTTAGTTACACCCCAGTACCAAAGACAGCTGCTGTCCACACCTGGCTTCACTGTGCAAAACTGCAGAGTTTTTTATGACCATACCCACACCACAGGGCAACACCAGGGGAAGGGGCAACTGCAACTGTCTCAACGAGCCCCAGTGGAATAAAGGTCCTTTCTGACAAACCGTCATTACTGCTAAACCTTTCCCAAAATGTAAAAAATCAGTTAAAAGCACAGGAACACCAAAGGTTCAGAAGCTCCAGTTGGTAATGACTGAACTAGAGAGAGGGGAAAGTAGTTATTTAATCAGAAACCTCTAGAAAGCCATGGTTACAGTGGTACAGTGATCTTCCCTGGGAAAACAGCACAAGTTTATAA